TGCAAATGCTTCACAAATGCCAGAAAATCCTCAAATCATAATTTGTAGTAGTAAAAACTAAGCTGTGTTACAGCATGTCACAAACACAAAATTAAAACATCTATGCTAAAATATGCGGGTCACCCCATCCTAGTTTTGACATTGTGCGAAAGATTCTACTTATTTCGCTCTGCATCCCTTCAACCTGCTTCAATGGAGAATAAAATGAAGCTTTATAACAAATTCTGGACAATTTGGGAGGATATACTTACACTATGTAACCTTGTGACAAGCTCCTTATTGTCCAGACAGTTAGAATTAAACCAAGCATCAAAGTCATTAGATGAGTTGAACACATCGGGTAAGAGGAAATTCAGCAATGCCCATAACTCGTGAAGGTTGTTTTGCAGGGGTGTACCAGTCAACAGCAAACGATTTGTGGAACGAAATTCTCTCACAATCTCAGACAGCTGAAAGAAAATTGGGAAGAGATGCAATTCACATATCAAGCAACAAAGAGGGTATCAACCTGACAATAGAGAATGGGTTGATTGATGGGACACGAACTAAGCAACGTCTGTAGCAACACCTGATTGTAATGGAAAGGAACATTTACTTGACAATGTGTCCAACACAATGAGAAATCAAATGGACATATGCGTAGTTATAACAATATCATTGCCTTTAACATAGGGTCATTAGTCAATAGACCATTTTCCGTTCATTGCGAGAATCGCGCGTTATACGTGAAATCGAACGTAAAAACAGGACAAACAAAGGTCATAGTGTCGTAGTGGCGTCAAACATCGCGTGGGATTCGACAAACGCGAAAGTATTTTGGAGGACATTTCCATGCTTAATAATGTGTTGTCCACATTTGATGATAGGCAATTTTGATTAAGTAAGCGTATTCGGAAGCAATATTCCTCTGTCAATGTGAGTTACGAAATAAAGAAATTCGAGTTCAAAATCAAATCGTTCGATTTTTGCGGCAGGCGTTCAACGCGCGTTTTTCATACATCTCGCGAGATCTCGCAATTGTACGGAAAATCCCCTATCGACTAGTTTTCTTAATATTTGTTGGTCTACTGTCCAACATTTCAGATAAATTTTTTCGTAAAAAAATAATTCTCATTCAAATCAATTGTATACCACAGCAAAAGCATACAATTCCAAAAAAACAACTAATCTAATCAACTGGACTAGGTACACGCACGTTGAATTCATCACAATACTAGCATATTGCCCACATACCTTAGATTTTTCATTCTTTATACGATGAGCTTCATCAATAACCAGATACCTCCAGTTAAATTTCTTAAAGACTGACTTCTCTCGTATAATCATTTCATAGGAAGTAACGCAGACATCCCACTCGCCCGGCAACATGACATCACGTATAAATGCAGCCTGAACAAATCAACAAAAAATTAGTTATCTTCTTGCACTAGTATTTCAAAGGTAATAAAGATGAACGTAATTTTCCAGATTAAAGAGAGCAAAATAGCCTGGCTATATTTTACATGCAAGTCTTATTTACTGAATCACACAGAAAATGACCAAACAAGAAAGAGCTGACAGATAATCAACAACTCTGCAAAAACCTTATGATGCCACTTACATAGTATTTACAATGGTGCACATGTTAATTTATCATGCCATGCTACTTACCCTTTTATCTTGGTCTCCTATTAAACACACTGCTCTGACACTAGGGCACCATTTTTTGAATTCAGCCATCCAATTGGATAATGTTGACTTGGGACATATCACAATATGTGGACTGGGAATATTTCTGTAATGCTTCATGTAGCCAATTAATGAGATGGTCTGCAACGTTTTACCCAAACCCTGAAAATAAACAGAGTTGTTAACTTTATTTTATTATCAAAAATAAAGGTGTATACTGAACAGTGCATTCTCAGGACCAAAAATCCATTTTCATTGAATGGTTAAAAACTAAAAAAACTGCTTTGGGCTAGTTGTTGAGATTCTTCTGAAGACTTAACAAGATTACGTCTAGATGTGCAACATATATAAATTTCAATTGTTCGGGACTGTTTCAAAGTTGAGTTTGTGCCATTTTCACTGGTTCCTGACAGACATTCCAAAGCAGTACGCAGAGCCTATAGAAATACATGCAGAGGTGCACGTCTTGGCAACATGGAACATTCTGTGACATAGCTTCGCTCCCGAGAATACATCTATTTCAGAAGGCAGATTCGTCACTGTCATGTCAGTTGTTCTTTCATTAATGACAATCTATGTTGTTTGGTTTGTTTTTTATTCCTTAGAATACAAAAGCCGAGATCACATACCATCTCGTCAGCCAGGATACCATTAATACCATGTTCATAGAGCGATATCATCCAGTTCAACCCTCGTACTTGGTAATCTCTCATTTCTCCCCATTTAATGTAAGACGGCGACTCCTCAAAACGGGTCACAACTTGCGTCAACTTCTTCTGCTCATCAGGAGCTCTTCGTCTTCCTCCTGCTCAGTCATTCGATGGCGGTGGCTAGAAGCAGAGAGAATGGAACTTTCGGAACACCGAAATTTCAGCAACTTTTAGTACATCGCAATGACACAAACAAGAAAAATTGGGGCAACTATTTTCAAAATTAGTTCCGAGTTTTATTAACTTAATGTCAATCAAAATATCAAAAACATGTGTGCTTTCTTTGTGCCTACATAAACCTCAGAGACACATTGAATTGTGATCACTGGCAGGGTTTTTAGGCAGTCACCCATTCCAACTGAAAACGAAAAATTCAAGCAGTTTTTATCAGTAATACCACCCAATGTTGCACATTTAAACTTCATTTAAATGTTAAGGAGTGTTCTTCCAGCAATACTCAAAACATGGTGGCCAAATGCATATTAAAAAATTTGTATTTCCATATTTACCAAACAATAGAAACAAATAACACGGACCACCATTGTTTTCTTGAAAGTTTAAGAATGCCATTTTGGTTAAGACCCTCAAACTTAAAATGCTTGGAAGAACACTAATTTGAAAAAAATTATTCTGGAATAGAGGGTGGCATAAACATGAAAGAAATGTAGGGATATAGACTGCATTCCCTGTCAATATATGTTGACAGGCCATTTTTAAAATGCGCGATACCCTTGCCAGTATAAGTCTTAGCCAAATTTTAAGCTAATGTTTACCAATTTCATTTTTTAATTATTCATCAATGTAGAAAAATTGTTTATGTCCTTGAAATGTTTGTCCTTACAACTTCACGTCACAACATCGCTAAATATTCACCTATCAACCTAACCAACTAATATAAACTTATATCAACCAAAGAGATATCTCCAGCAACAGATATAAACTTATCTTAACCAACTGCTTTCAACCTGGCTTAACCAATCGCTAAACAATCTGAAAAATAATCATTTCTATTGCTAGAATATGATTAGTAGCATTTCCTATTAGTAACACTAGTTAGTAAATGTATCAGTAAACAGCAAACCAAAAAAATGTAGTAAGAAGTCGAAAATATCAATGGTCTAAATAATCGTCCACTTTAAAACACAAAGGGTTCTTACAACTAGCTGCACCTGAAGAGACAATAAAAGGAATATACTCTAATTATAAATTCAACGTCTCGGCTTTGTTGAGAACACTTGACAACTGGTTTTTCAAGTTATCTTACTCTCATTACAGTCATTTTACAGCACTCATCCTTCTAAGTATAAATCGGAAAGAAAACTAAGCATTATAGTTACACCGTGTTCAACTCATTTTTAATACTTTTAAAACTTCAGGAACGTACACTGAAATATTTTGTTGGCACTGGAGGAAGGACCTGATGAAATAATTTTTTCACTACCTTTACACACTGGGTAACTACTGTTAGTAAAAGACCAACTATTAAAAAAATGTAATATCCAGAAGTATAGTTTTAAATTTTTAAGAGACCTGTAAGCATCCCTTAAAACACAATGCCCCCCCCCCCTCCCCTCAGTATGAAATTCCAGAAAGAATCTTCGAATATAATACTTACTCCCCAACTGCAGAAAGCTTCGCCTTTTCATCTTTCTTAGTCTTTGGTCTACCAGGTTTCATTTTGAGTGGACTCGTTGGAACTTTGCCAGTGGCAGTACTACTCACAAAGTGAGTGAAGATCTCAGTCTGCTGCAACAGGTAGTCAAACCTATTGGAACGATCTCTTTCCTGTTGAAAAAACAAAACACAACTTGAGTTTCAAATCAGTGGTCACATACCATATGCCGATAAAAAGACATGGAGTTGGCATACAAAAACTTGAGGCAAGCTTGGTTACTGCTAACACTTTCATTTGTACCAGGGTTCAGCCAGAAAATGAAAAAATGTCTGTCTATAAGAGGAATATCGAAAAAAAAAAGAAAGACATACACTGATCTACATATTTATTCCAACTGGAGCTTTGGCTTCATTATAGGCTTCATGCAGTCTCATTTGTCAGACTGTAAAAACTCAATTTCCAATGCTATTAATTTATTCAACTACTGAGACTTGACAATTCCATATTTTTTATTCTCTCAATATTACATGGTCATTTTTTTCTGAATTGTGAATATTTGTTGTGTTTTCTCTTACCTAATACATCACATAAAAGACAAATAAAAATGTGCGCATCAAGACCGTCATTGACAATACAACCAGGCTGGATTAAATTATTTAACCTAAATTATGTACAATGTTGTCACAGTTTACTCACAATACATTTAAATTCTTAACTAATTGAATTCATAACGATCATAGGTGGCAAGGCTTCATAGAATGAAATGATACAAATCTAAAATTCGACATTTGTATTTAATCTGTTTAATGATTATTTTAACGGGTGTACATGCCATATATCCATCAACATTGGCGACATTGACCTTTCTTATAAAATATGTACTTTTACATTGACTTGACCAGTAAAGGGTCGATAATCAAATCTCTAATGAGACTGATACTATGATTTTGCATTTTCTGAAGTTATTTATGTTTTTATTATTTGTATACTTACCAGTTTTTCTTCATATTCAGCTTTTTCTCCTGGGGCTGCTTTAGGAGGGCTTTTCAGAAGAATTGGAGCAGCTGGAGTTGGCATAATCATTTGCTGCAGAGAAAAAAAAAACAGTTGTATGTTAGAATCTGCTAAGTGCAGCAACACTGACAACACTGTTGATGTAAACAACCACTCGAGATCATCTGAATACGGTGCAAGTTGGTAAAGATGTGTTCCAAATTATTAATTTATAGTCAGAAATATGCTATACGCTAGCACTACAGCAGTTTGTTGGAAGGCGCATGCTTTATCCATGAAAGAAACACGCCAAAAACCGCGCAATGGCTTGTGCTTTCTAGTTTTTGTTGGCCCTGAAACCGGAAATGTGCAAACGTCAGCGGGTTTATGTACAATGAAAGTCAATTATTCGATATAAAATTGCTCTAATAAACAAAAAAGGTGAATGTTATCACAAATAAACGTATATTTTCACGTTTTATATCAATTTGGAGAGCTAAATGGGAAGATAGCTATAACTTGGCGAGTCTTCATTCATAACGTGTCGCATGCCATGTTGCCAGTGTTTTTAGTTTCAAGAGAAGCACTCAACAGACTTAAATATACGGCGTTTATTTTAAAAAGAAAATGCAACCAACAAAGAAGTCTTACCGGTAGTATAGGTGCGGACTCGTCAGCGCTTTCTGCGTCAGACATGATGGTTTATTTCCAGTGTTTTCTCTTTCGTGCAGATAAAACGTCTCTTTGTTCGTTCACTCAAAATGCCGGCAAGGCGCGCTTTGGCTGTTTGATCGTTTTCGGAAACGACCGAATTTTCCCGAATCGCCCCCACACGGTGGGATTGAGAAATTTCAAAGATGTCTGCGCCCAGTGACAAGTGAACCTGCATAAAAGTTTGACAAACTGTTTTTTCTTGTTTACATACAATGATCAAGCAATTTACAACAGTGAAGATATTGTTTATTGAATAAGAA